CCATGCTTTATTATTTGCTTCTTGCTGCAAATAGCCAACTCCCAATTAATATGAAGAAGTTTGGACTAGATTAAGTAATGTAACTACTACAAGAGTTCTATGAGTCACATGCTTCTTCCTTCATTACAACCCCAAAATAAGTTCCACAATAACTTCTGGGTTTTTTTCTCTCAAAAGTTTGAATAGATAATTAAGATTGTAAAGATTTGTCCCCATGGTCATAGGTTCCCATCGTCAGATGATTGCAATCTATGACTTTCCCTGCTTGCTTCTCACAAGCAAAATCAATGGGGAAGCCAGCAGGAAGTTGGAAGCCAGTCACATGAGATCCTTGCTAAATGACCCACGATGATTTATTTAACAATGATAACTGGAGATTACAAGAACTGCCATCCCTAAGTAGTGCAGTCACATGACATTGCATTTTCTGGTCGCAATTACCACCATTGAGGACTACCTTTAACTTGAACAATCTAGAACTAATGATGGACCAGAAATAACCGGTAAATACGAAGTTTTTCATCTCAAAGTCCTGGAGAGATAGAAGTTTGACAGAATCACATATTAATTTCAGTTGATTGCTCTATCAATATTTTTCACAAATTCTACAATCCCTGAAAACCATCCACATTTTTGTTGTCTACCTACCCTGCCTATCTCTGCAGTGATATCAATCACTTTTCACACTGCTGAAATTTGATCTCCAGAAGCAACAAAATAGATGTTATGGATTTCCAGGATTTAACACATCTATTTTGCATTTTAAGATGCCCTACAACATCACAAGAAGCAAAACACATTACCAGACCTCTAGAAGACAATGTATATGTATAAAACAAAGTGTGGCCTTCAGATGAGACTTGCCATTCCTTGATATAAATGATGGTGCACAACGCTCCCTTTGAATTTTATTACACAGCAGCTTTAGCTCCAGGTAATCCGCATACATGAAAATAGCTTCCTTGTACAAAATCTGTAAATTCACCTCAAAGATGGAAAGATATTTGTCTTGTTTTCAATTGCATAGTGACACGCTCATTGGAAGAATGTCACCACAGCAGCCTTTCTTTATTATATACTCACTGTAGTAGCAAGAAAAATAGATTTGATGAAGCAGAAAGGAAAACCAATTCAAAAGCAAATAAAAAAGAACCTTGCATCTATATATGAAAAGAGTGAAGTCGGTAAGAGCTATGTAATTTATTTTGAGTAATTATTCTAGTTTTAAAATCCAGGTAATTTTTCTTCCTGTTAGAAAGCCTGGAGGCAAAAAGCCTTTTGAAATATTGGAGAGGGTAAAATTTAAAAATTAGCTACTGAGCATGAAGTATGCAATAATTGCTCTTCATAACATTTTTATTGCCTCTATATTCTGTGAATTATTGCTCTAAATTCCTCTGTACCATTATGATGAAAAAATGGTATCAATAAAATTGGGTTGATTTATGTTAAGATTTTATCACTTAAGCCCATGAAAATCAGAGGCATGCTAAAAGGAGCCATTTTTTCATGACATTTCTTTTTCCTTTTTTTCATTCAGAGCAGTAACAACAGTTCCACTCTTCATTTCCTGATGCACTGGTAAGTATCCTCACACCCATACTAACCATTCACACAATCGTGGGCTCAGGATTTTAGGCAAAACTGTAACTATGACATTAGGATGTCACACACTAGTTTTCAACTTTTTCTGATTAAAGCAGTTTGGAAGAGGAGATAAACGGAGCTACTTCTTAAATATATTGCCCTCTTTTCTTCCATCTGTTCTTCAATGGAACTATGGGATTTTTCTTACGATGGAGATTACTATATGTAAATTAGTATAGATAAAACTAAACAAGGGGTTAATTAAACTGGTAGATATGAGCAAAGCCCACAATATTATACAATATTACAATGTTTTATTTTATTCAGCCCCTGGCTTAGTATGCAGTTTGCTTGCACCACGACATTTTTATCACTTATATGATGTTTATCATCACTTTGTTATCTATTTTGTTCATCTGCCTGTTTTACATAAATCAGCAATATCAAAGTATGTTACCTTAGCTTCTATCAAAAGGGACTAGAAGTGGTAGTATGTACTTTCCAGAACATTTTATCATGTAGAACAGGGGTGTCAAACTCGCAATATCTGAAACCTACATTACATATTTGGTGAAGCTGATTTAGCTAAACATGAGTTTGTTGGAAAAAAAAGTCCCAATTACCTGCAGTCACACAGCATAGTAAGACAATAGTGGTAATCACTGCAAATGTCTTAATTCCCACCTTAGAACTGAATTAGGTTGGACATTTTTTAAAGATTAAGCATGTCAGCCAGATCCAGAGTAGCATTGTTTTTGCTAAATTTAAATTGGGATTCATTCTAAAATTAAATTCTGACATCAGAGACTGTTTCACTTGAATTGGAGGACAATCCAAATGCTAGCTATCCAGGTGCATGCTACTATTCTACAAGTGGGATTTCCTTTATTTATTGAAAACCTAAAACTATTTTTTTCTATGCAAAATAATTCATAAACACGACTGAGCTATATTCTGTTCCTTTTTAAAATAATTTAACAAAAACTGTCCAGAGATTTTCTCCAGAGATGCTCATTCATCTGATAAAATAATGAAAAGAAAACCTTTCTTGTGCTACTTATATCCCTTTCCCCCAATCTCCATAGCAATATAATATGCATTAGGCAATGAATATTACAAATTATAGCAAAGGTTAACTATAAAGAATTAGAATATTTCTCCAACAAAATGTCTTTCCTCCAAAGAAAAGAAATAATCACCCAGAATATATGAGAAGGTCCTTTTCCTTCACATCTTAGACTAGTGCTGATATAATTTTATCAAATCTTATCCTTGATCTGTTAATAAAAGAATTCATAATATTTATGATTTTATTTTGATGGATGTGAAAAAGCATTTACAGAAAGCTTCTTCCTTGTGACAAAAGTAAAATGGGTTACCCCAAGGATACTTTTCCAAAAGGCAACTGGACTTTCTTGATATGGAAAAGAACCTTTGGGACAACCATGATGTAGATGACTGAGAACCTCCATACACATTTAAAATGGATTACTTTAATACCCAAGTTCAAAAACTTAATTTTAAAATAGAATTAGTCTAATACAATTGGGTTATGCATAAACAAATGACAGTTCATAACTTGTGCTAATTCAACACTTGTTTAATCATGGTTTAAGAGATGATCCCTAATGGCTGTTTGCATAACACAGTCAAAATCAAGGAGACCCTTTCATACCTTAGTGGTCAGCCTTTCTGTTCTTCTACTGTAGGATCATGAGATTTGTTTAGAGCAAGTGTATCCAAACATTTGGCTTGCCTGGGCCACACTGAGTGAAGATGAATTGTCTTGGGCCACAAATAAAATATATAATATAGTTAATGTATGAAAATGCACGTTAGACGTTTACAATCTTGCAGAGCCATATTACTAGCTATCCAGGGCTGCTGGATGGACATGCCTGGTTTAGGCCTTCCTTCCTAATTCTGCAGGTATTTCAATTTCAAATGCTCTATTGCAAGCATGACACCCTTAACAGGTACTTTGTTTAAAAAAATCACCATCAACTACAATCTATTTAATTCTTATTTTCATAAGTATTCTTAAGATAATTTAATCAAGTTAACTCAGCTATCAGTGCATATGAACTGTTCGGTTCACAAAAAAATAGGCATAAAGGTAAAGTGGTTTTTTCTAATCTTTCAATTTTTTTCATTTGCCAGGATTGTCAAATTGTTATTCGACAGAGACGCACCAGGCTAGAAAGTGGGAGACAGTGAGTTCAAGTCCTGCCTCACCCAAAAAGCCAGCTGGATGATCTCAGCCCAACCCACCTCACAGGGTTGTTATGGGAAAATAAGAGGAAGGTATGTTAGTTATGTTCACCAGCTTGAGTTATTTGAAAAAATAAAGGTGGCATATAAATAAATATAATTATAATTATACCTAAGAACTGACATAAATATGCATTCTTTCAGCAATGTGGAGATGGAATAATAATGTAATTTTTGAGCTTAAAATTAGTACATAAATAGAAAAATCATAATTAAAGAAAAAACTATTAAAGAACTAGTAAGCTTAATATTTAGCACCTAAAAAGACAATATCCAAATGTTTTGCTCTAAGTCCAAAATTGGTGCTATTTCAATAATATTTAGAATCATATAGAACTGTGATTAAAAGGAACAATGCAAAAAAAATAGTTCATGCATTATTTTCCCCTTACTCCTGCTTTCTTTTAAAGATGAGATATAGAATTATTATGGTTTAACCTCACAGACTCATATGTTCATACCAAATTCTGAAGGAAAATGGGAACAAATCTATTTCAACAAACAGAAGCTTTATATACACTTTAAAACTGCATGACTATTTCATAGAAAACTAAGTTATTCCATTTTCCTGTTATGCTACATTATGCTTTCTCCAAAGAAACGTAAGTATCAAGAGAGTATATGGTCTCCAGGATTAACTTAACATGCACGCTATGCAGAACCACAACTGAAACACAGTATTTTGTAACTAAAACTGTCTGAACTCACAATAGTGACACTGGGCATAATCTGAATCACAGGTGATCTGAACATTCACATTGATTTTAACAGAAGCCACATTAAATTAACCAAAGAAAAGTTTCCAAGAAAATTGTAAGAAATATGAGGTTCTTTAAATATAAAAAGGTAAGAAGTCCCATGTTCAATAGAGTTTCCTACTAAAAATGCTGTTTTCGAACAGCAAAATGAGTTGCCATGGACTAACAGTCAGTTTTCTTGCTGTAACTAGAAAATGTAATGCTAAGTTACAATTAAATGAGCATTGCAAGTTTAAGCAGACGAATAGTTTTGTGTTATTGTTTAAAAATATCCCAGTATCTTATAATACAATTCGCACTAAAAATCAATTTTGCCCATCAGCATGAACACACAAAATCAAGACAACCACTACCAGAGTAAAACACTAACACTTTATTAAAAATTCAAAATTTATTGCAAATTATATTTTGCTTCTCTCCTTTCCTCATTTTTACATGATTTATTGATATCCATGATTTTTTCACAAATATACTTGTTGACTTTGGAGAGTCTCTGTGCAATTTCTGTTTCATCCAGGGTTTCTTGTGCTATTCTGTCATACAAACATTCTAAAAAAGAAAGAAAGAAAGAAAGAAAGAAAACATGACATTTAGAATGAAACTTCAACACGTTTAAAATACAGCAAAAACTCTTCAGCAAGGCATATGTCACGCACAGGATGAATGCAGCAACTCGATGTGAACAAGAACCCGCATACAGCACCAATCTGAAAACTCCTCTCCGACAACAAATACTTTCTATGTTCACCTAGGATTGGTAAAGTACATTTACACTAATGTACTTTAAGATGTCTTTGATAGACGTTTTAATCATAAGCCATTTACTCTGAAATGGCCATGTCTCTCAGTCTAAGGGAAAAAAAACAAGCCTGTAATTTAATTTTGAGTAAATATATTTTTGTAAGAGCACGGAAAGGCCCTTAAAAGGCATTCTCTGGCCATTTTTTTAAAAAACACATCTTATGCTTATTACTTATGCTTATTCTCGGCAGACATTTCCACTCAATCAGAGTCATGATAACATGAACAAATGAGAAAGAAAAATCAATGGACCTCCTACCTCAAACGTTGCCATCCATGAAACATACTATTTGTAGATTTCTACCTGCCTCACCACTTTATAAAAATATACTTTTAAAATACAAATAACAATACTGAGGTAGATAAAGTGGAATTACAAAACAAAAATATGATTTACAGTGTAGCAGTCTGTTTAACAGATAACAAGTCTAAAAATTCTTTCATAATACTGAAATGCCCTGAGACAAGATAATGTTAGGCAACAGCATCCATGTGAAAAAAGTATGTGTTAGGAACTACGGTAAAGTTTGTTTGTTCTTCCAAATTAAATGGTTGTTTATTTGTGACTGTTATAAAGGGGAAGACTAGGTAACTTCAAAAACTAAAACAGTTTGACTAACTGACATGAAGCAAATTAACAGTAAACAGTCTGATTTCTGAGACATAGTTTACAAAACTATGTCTCATCATTGTAAACTCCTCAGCACTCAATATACAAGCTACAGTAGTCTGCCTTTGTATAAACTATAGTGAAAAGTACAATTACTACCAGTACTGTTTCCAAAGCAATTAAATAATTTCTGCTGTTCTTAGTATTTTCATTCAGCAACTATTTATTGCTTCATATGGTAAACGAAATAGAGAGTCACTTAATTAACGAGTTTTATGGCACTGTTAATGCACATTAAAGTTGTAACAATTAACTATTCTACATCCTTTGCATCTTCTCTCACACCTTTCAGAAGTTTTATAAAAGGCTATTTTTCAGTCACAAGATCTGCAATGGTTGCATACCAACACTGTTTAATAACTTTCTCAGAATAAACTACACAATAGGGACTACTAAACAAAAAGACATATCAGACCCATTAAAACCTAACACCATCTTTTTAAGATGTATTTTATGGAACTATTCTAGAATTAAAAGAATAAAAACTATCTCGGCTACAGATTTTATGAGCAATTTGAAATGTATTAGTATTTTTAAAAATGAGATTTTAAAGATAAGGAAAGAGATGACTAAAAGAGTGATTTAAATTTAAACACAGAAAGAGGAATTTGATTAACGCACAGAAACACCCATTCCTCTTCAGTACCAAATCAGGGAGCGACTGAAATCATTACAATTGAAATCTATGCATAACTAAAGCATTTTATTTCCACCATGAAATTCCACCATACATCTACTACATTCCAACATATCACATGTATGGGATTTTGTCCACAGCTTTGTTAAGTAAGCATTTCACATGTAATCAAAAATTCAAATTGCATCAGAATTGCCGCCTATAAATGATGTCTATGTTGCAGCTTCAGGAACTGCTTTTATTCTAATTTTAAACACAACAGAAAGACAGGGTGGCAATTGTCCCTCTGCTTATTCTCTACAGTAGATGTGTACATGTTTGGCTTTTGATACAGTTTTTTTGTATCTGAAATCCCCTTCATAACAAAATATGAGCTGACTATGTGGGTTTATCCTGAAATCTTTGTACTATGCGCAATATGCATTAGCCTTGTAGGTGGTGATCAAAATTCAGCACTAAGGCTAGCCTTCCGTATTTGCCCAAAAAACAGGCAACTTGGAAAAGGCTTGATGAACAGGCGCAAGAGCGGCTGCATGGTGCTGATAAGAGTAAAACCTGGCCACTACTTGTCTGCTCTGAACCCAGAGGTATCTACAGGGAGCAGCAGGTATCAAAAAAAGGCAAGAGGTTAGGAGAGAAGTTGCAGTGCAAACCCTGACCTTTATGTATGTGAGAAAGGGTGAAAGCCTGCATCACAATGCCACTCCAAAAAACTTGGCTTCTTTAAGAATCCTCTTGCTCAAAACTGCAGATACTGCTGTCTGTACCTGCTGGCAAACGTTTCCGGGGATAGCATGGTCGAACGAGAATATTACTATCCTGAGGAGAGTAAGGTTAGAAAAGTTCTATGCTTTCTTGCATACCTGCTTGCTCTTTTAGTAGGGCTATGTGAAACTCTGGAACCAATGACTGACTCATCCTTTCAAAGCAGATATGATTCCAAGCAGGGAACTGCATGGTTCCCGTCTTTCAAAGCACTTTGAAGATTCCATGACTTTTTCTGCTGCTTCTAGGATGTTTACAGACAATACACCACAATAACTTTATATATAAACAATAGAGGGGCTGGAGAAAAGGGAGTGGTGATAAGCCCAATAGCTGGTCACTGAGTTTCATCACCTTATTACAGTCTGCCTATCAGATCTGTTTTGGGGGAGACATTATATTGTCCTTACATTTTGGTTCAATGTGTCTTTTCTGATAGGCTGTTTGCTCTTATTAAATTTAGGGAGGATTTTCCCCAAATCCCTATTAAATTAAAATATTCATTCCTGTCACTTTTAATTCTCCCCATTCTCGTGTCCCAACAGCCCTTACCCACATTCTTTTGTTGTCTTCTATTTCCTTTATCATGTGTGGAAAGAAGAATGTGGAGTCCTTGGTGCTCTCTTGACTTTGGCTGTTTGCTGATAGATGTTTCATTATCTGACTAGATAACAACATCAGTGCTAATGAGTAAGGGGTTTGCTCCCTGTTTATATACAGTAGCTTACACTGCCAGTGTGTGTGTATGGGGAGGTTATGAGTTTCTTCCATAGTAGCTGCTTGATTATGGTGCTGTTTTATGCTTGATTGTTTGTCTGGTGTTAATGTCTGCTTATCTGGGTGTAGACTGCTGGGGAGGATATGTTTTGGACTTTTTGTTTCCTTTTTAGTTTTTGTTATTGTCTCTTTTTAATAGTATGTAAATGTGGTTTATCTCTATGTGCCTATTGATGGCTGAATTCCTTAGCAATACCCTAAGGCAGGGGTGTCAAACTCGCAACGTCACGTGACGTGTCGCGACATATTGCAACTTTTTTTCCATTGCCGGCAATGGGGTGAGTGCTATGATACATCTGGCCCGCAGGCCGGCAGTTTGACACCCCTGCCCTAAGGTCAAAGGTATCTAGCAGCTGAACAAAATATCAATGGCACTAGAAGTGGAGGTCATAAGGAACGCATACATGGTTTTGATGGGAAAATGTTAGGATACAGACAACAGGCCAATATTGGCATTTCTGTAACAAATAAATGATTGATGAGTCTTACCTAACGACAGGTAGGATTTGATTAACAAAGGCAACTGGGACAACCAGGATTTGCCATTGCTAAGCCCTGTGTTCACATGATGCTGTGCTTTACAACTGTAACACTTAGCAATGGAAATGGTCCCAACTGAAGTCATACGTCAAATACTACTTGTAGCTCCCTTCCTAAGATATATACATAGGATTGTGTAAGCTGTTAATCACTTCAGCAGCTGTATTAGAAAGCAAGATTTCTTCAGTCACTGCTTAATGTACAGTAGTTTGAAGAACACTCACATAATCAAAATAACCTACCTCTGACAATGCTTAATTTGTGAGGTGACAGAGGTGGCTTAGGAACAGCATCTTTTTTTTTCTTAGTGGCCACACCCGTAACACTTCTATTTTTAAGAACATCGGTTCCCCAAATCATAACTGCTAAGTTTTTTGTATACTTTGAATCTCCTTGCGTTACTTGCAGCTGATGCCATTTCTCCTCATCTACCCAGATGCCACTTCCAAGATGAACCTGGAGTAGAAAGTGAAATAACAGATGATAGTTACCTGAAGAGTTTGTTTCATCCTTCATAAATAGCAGGAACAATGTTTAACATTAAACACACTTATCTATAGTATCCAATGACTGAAAAAGTATGAAATATTAAAAACAATTTGATTGTCTAAACTATGTGCAAAATCATAAAATGATATAAAATGAAAACCCATAAAGAGAGCAAGTTGTAAATGGTTTTTATCTCCATAAAGGTTCTCCTTTATTGAAAAGAATGTTTCTTCCCTTTATGTTCTGCTTAGAGAAGAATGTTTTTTCACAACCATAGCATATGATCAAAAGCATAACCTTGTGTTTTTTGGTAAACAAATGCAAAAACCTCAGGAAAAGTCCCTAAAGTATTCACTTGACATTTCTGTCATGAACTGATAAAAATGCTTTGGAGTTTATATGCCCGTTATGAGATTCACTTTAATTTTATTAATGAATATAGAAAGGCAGGCAGGCAACCATCACCAATGAAGCATTCTCAGTTGAATATTTCTGCCTTTTCCTTATCCTTCCCCACCAAGGCTGTTACTATCAAGTGCCCAAGTGCAAAAGATTCCTGAAGAGAGAGAGGAAAGGCTAACCACAATTGCCTCAAATGACTGCTCAGATGGATTTTTATTTATATTTTTATTTCTGCTTAGAGCAGTGATGGCGAACCTTTTAGAGACCCAGTGCCCAAACTGCAACCCAAAACCCACTTATTTATCACCGAGTGCCGGGTGAGCGTGGCCACAGTGGTCCTTGCACTGGGTGGGCGGGGCCAGGGTGGCAGGGGGCCAGTCCCTGGCCAACTCCAGGGCAGAGCATGCGTGCCCACAGAGAGGGCTCTGAGTGCCGCCTCTGGCATGCGTGCCATAGGTTCGCCACCACTGGCTTAGAGGAATGCCTTTCTCTCTATTTCAAAACTATATTTTATATATTAACATGCATTTATTTTGCTGGTAAGTATTTCTTGCTTAGTTATTTTTAAAGGAAGAAAGAATATAAATATTTGCAATGAATATAATATTAATACCTTTCCGTTCTCAAGAATATATTTGTCCATTACAGGAATAGCAGCTGGGTAGTACGTTGAAGTGTTTGCTTCCTCACTGAAAGCTGTCTGTACATCAGGCTCAGGTTCAATGGATTCAGGTGTAACCTTTTCAAGTTCTAGGGCAGGACCTATATCATTTAAAAAAGAGGAACAAATCACCAGGCTTTAATTTAATGTAGGATGTATTAATTCTGTAGCCTATTTCATGTACAGAGCTTCAAACTGATTAATGCTGATCTAACCAAAAATCCAAAGTCAGTATGGCAGTAAAATATATTACCCCTTTTTTCTCATTTAATTTATCAAAATATAAAATAAAGAAATACAAAGAAAAGGAAAAATAATGGTAAAATGAGGAGGGAAAGGGGAAGAGAAAAAAGTGTAGGATGGAGGGGAAAAAGAAAAAAGAACGTTGACTTCTGGCTCCTTTTAGTGCAGTAAAATAAGGTATTCACATAAAACTTCAACATTTTACTTTTACATAATAATATACTACCCATTTCTATGACAACAAACCTATCTAATTAGCAAAATTCAAAATCAAAGTTTCAATTTTTTCCACCTCAAGCTTTTTTTCCCCTCAAAGGATCATATTTTAATAACATTTTCAAAAAATGAACATAAATATGAACAAATGGAATGTGAGATTCAAAGCAATTCAGCACTTGTTGTTAAACCCAAACTGAGCTACACAGTTGTAACTGTTTTAGATGTATTTTTTCATCATCAGTGAAAGAAATGATAGTTGTATTATGACAAGTTACATATTATTACACAGATGTTACATCTGTAACCAACTTTTTAGTTAAGTGTTTTAAAATTAAAAGGACAGAAACAACAGCTGGAAAAAACTGTCAATATCCAAAGACAAGCTCAATTATTATTATTATTAAAAAAATTTATTAATTTTTTCAAATAAAATATGAACAAATAATACAAATATGGTGCATTTCATTAGAAAAACAAGCACATAAAAAGCCTATTCCGAAATAATCGGCGTTCCCCCCCCTGCATCCACACTCCCTCCACTAGCTCAATTATTTTCATGTGATTGAAAAAGGTTTGGACTTGGTTAATAAGTAGAGATATACAAACATTCAAATTGAAGATTCAACACATTGACAATTGAATTTCCAAACCAAATCAACTTTTAGAATTGTTGACTCAGTTGCAGATATCTTCAATGTATTTAGATCAGCGGTGTCAAACTCACAATGTCACGTGACTTGTTGCGACGTATCGTGACTTTTTTGCCATTGCCAGCAAGGGGGTAGGCACAGTTTTGCCATGATGCATCCGGCTCATCGGCTGGCAGTTTGACACCCCTGACTGAGATATTTGTATGGGCTTTTTTTGCATGGATTCAAACCTTTTCTCTAAACTGATGATTTGACTAGCATAGGCCAATTCAAAAGTAACTTGTTTCCTATTCACACTAGTTCACAGGGTTCACACTGGTTTTTACTAGGTTGGGATAGTAGTCAATTTCATAATTGCAAAACCTGAAAAAAGATTGTCCATCCTAAAGACAGATAGGATTTATTAAAGCATGTATATCACCTTTAACTACATATATATCTTGCCACAATGAAAAATATAAGCCAAAAAGTCAAATAAAATTGATGTAAGCAGAAAATGTAAAGATTAAATATAAACGTATCTTTAATGACATTTTCTATTGCTTGTTGATATGTTGATATACATATGGAATTACAAATCTTTTAAAACAACATAGTTAATAAATGCTACTACAGTAATTCAGAGAACCAGTGCAAAAACATGAGGTCCTAACAGATAGAAGCATGTGGCCCAATATCTTGTAATACATTTTATTCCAAAGCTCAAAATATTTCACATTTCAATAATCAAAGCCTTTTCTAGGCAGCTCAACTTCACAGTAATTTCAGAAACTACTAAGAGTTGCATTTACAGCACAGCATGTTCAAATTAGACATGCAATTCCTTTTACTGTCTTTTTGCTAATTAGAGTTGCTTGCCTAATTTGCCATGCATCATGCTTACTTTTTAAAAGTTTCTCACTTTGTAGTTTTTGCACTTTGATAAGCAAAACAGAAAATGTGCAGTTACGGAAGTTTTCTGAAAGTCAACACAAAATGTGTTTTCTTAGCACAGCAAATGCAGATGAAGGAAAACCCTTGTTTCAGTGAAAAGTTTTATTATTCTCCAAAGTGAGGCTCCTGGCGTATGAATTAGACAAGAAATATAAAATTTCCCTTATAGTTCAGCATCTCCAGATTTTGTTCATGTCAAAAGAAACTTGTTGATTTAATTAGATGAAAAGCCTATCTAGTCCAGCATCCTTTGCCCCACAGTAACTGATGAAATACCTATAGAAAGACATTCCCCCCCCAACACACACATACATTCCCCCCCTTTCACCTTTTCTAGTATTTGATTCTGGCTTGATGTTATTTTCTAACCGTCTCAACCTTGGCAACTTGAAGATGTGTTGACTTCCCAGAATTCCCTAACCAAGCATAGATTATACCCTGCACTGAAGAGATCTCCTTATGGTAATTCTGTGTAGCTTTGAACCATGAGTAAACTTTCTTAAAGAAAAGGAAGCCGACATGGAAGGCATTTTGTCTGCCTACGATCCTAGAGCTGGTATTTCAAGTCATACCGCCATAGTATTTTAGGTGATAGAGACCCTATCAGGATTCATAAATAGTAATTCTCTTGCCTTCCTTAAGAAAAGCCTTTGCCATTTCAAAACACTCAGACTGGGAATTTTAAGATATGCAGTAAGCTAATTTTTAAATGCTATATTTAAATCATGAGTAACAATAAGCTAAACTTTAGTGAATCAAGATGGCAAATTCCAGTAGGCACTACATTCTATTGATTTCAATATAATTTAGGGATATTTACCTTTAGGCACAATTCAGAGGAAAGGCATATGAACATACTTAGTATATACAAATTTATCCCATGCACAGTCTCCTTCAACTCACCCTGAAAACTCAGAACATATTAGCTAATAAATTCTGTGAAAAACGTAGCCTGCATACACTGGAATTAGCAGCTCTTAGAAAACAAGCAACTCTAATTTTTGACCCTTTAATTCACTAGAATTTGCATCATGGCTCCAAACAAATAGAAGAAAAGTACTGTAATTTGCACAAGAATACCATTTCTCTCTGGTTAATCAATTCTGAGAAATTTATTCATTTAAAGTTCTCTGTATTATTTTATCTATAGATTATATGATTTTGAATCCCATGTATGATTAATCCATGTTATCATTTTTAAAAGATTAAAAAAGGCAAACCAAAAGGTGGAACTTTCTAATGGGCCTAACATAATTACCCCCCCCCCCAAAAAGTAGGATACTGATCGTATGTTCAAACTAGAAAACTATTAAATCACAATACATAACTTAAAAGACAAGGACTGTGCCAGATAAAACTATTTATATTCCAAATAAATGGAAAAGGTAAGAGATAGTTTAATTAAGGGAAAATAAACTCCAACTATGTATGGATTGTGTGCTAAAAGTCACATATAAAGTACAGATGTATCTTGCCCCACTGGATTTGTATTATCCTACAATATGCTAAAAACATGCCATCTTTGATACTGAAACATTCTTCTCCATGCCCAAAACAATTTAGGTTAATATTTAATCTAAGTTAGTGTTTTAGCATGAATGTTGATTTAGGTAAAAGTAATTATATTATTTTGAATTATTTTAACTATATTTGAGGGACTTGTATATCTACTTATCTCACAGAACTGGCATGTTATGCATCCTGTTTACTAAGGAATGTCAACCAACGGGATCCAGAAAGAGAGCTGTTTCTGCTGTGATGCTCACCCTTTGGAAGTCTCAAAGTGCTTTTTCAAGAGGCAACTGGACTTTGCCAGTTGAAGACATTTTGCTTCTCATCCAAGAAGCTTCTTTGGAACATCATTTCTCTGGAACTTATTACTATTATTACTACTCTTCTGGCGTTTAAGAAGGGCCTTAAGAATTGGCTCTGCCATCTTGCCTGAAGACTGGGTAGCAGTGGTGTGGATTTTGGTGCATCCATACACATAGTATACATGCATGCATATATTTGTATACTAGCTGTACCCAGCCACGCGTTGCTGTGGCTCAGTCTGGTAAAAGCGTGTGTTGCTTTTACGTCCAACAGATGGTACTGTTTTTCAAAAAAAGCATGTTTTTACCTGTCACAGGTGTGACATCTATATAATATAGGTATATAAAAACACGCGCGTATTCGAATGCAACGTTGTGTCAAAATTTCAAAGCAATCGGTGAAGAACTTTCGGAGATTTAAGATTTTGAACAAACGAACATTTACATTTTTATTTATATAGAAGATAGATATGGGAAATATCATAATTTAACAAGTATTATATGAAACCACAAGAGGGAGCAGTAGCAAGATCATATTCCTATTTTGCAGTAGTCTCTTTCACATTGGGACAGAACAGAAGAGACTTGTTCTTGTAATAATCCAGTGGCTACTCTATTATATTCCTGTAATACTATCTGACACAGTGGAATTAGCTAGAAAACATTATAAGAGTACGATGCAGTCTTTCTACCTCATTCTAATACACTTTTTGTAGCTAATGTGTTTTATGCGGCTGTAGCTAGTGCAACTTGAACAGTTGGTAGCCATAAATTTCTTAAATGAATAAATATCTGTAACAAGAAAGTGATGAACACTGTCCTAATATTTTAGTTCCCATGCTTAGTCCAGTTAACCTGAAATGTGGAAACAACTTGAAAATTCTTAACAAGTCAGTATCAATTTAGCATAACTTTCTTCCTCTATTCCTGCCTTTCCAACAATGACACAACTATGCCATATTCTTCCACACAACACTAGAGAATTTCTATGCCCCAAAGGGACAAATGAAAGAATAAATAGAAGATCCAACTAGAAATTATGCCATCGTGTTTGGACAGCAGATTCAAACATGAGATTTTTATATTTCTCTGGGGGGGGGGGAAATCAGATGCTAAAAAAAGTTTTCTCTCAGTATTCAAAGAAAACTAACCCCAGAAAATCACATGGGTAAGACCTGAATCATGAATAACTGATAGAAGAATATGGCAAATGAATGCACATATGCAATCTGCACAAAATTCATATGGAAGTACAAGTTTTAGAGTTCCATTAAAAAGGCAATATAAAATAAATGGTCCCATCCCAGGTTACAATGTATTGGCTCAGGAAAAAACAATTATTTCCTAGCAGATTAGTTTAGAAATAATAGTTTCTCGCTCTGTCTCTAGAAATAAGTTCTTATTTGCTCAATTGGCCCAATACTGTGTTTGCCCCAAAATAAGACCCACCCCGAAAATAAGCCTTAGCCTGATTTTTGGGGTGGGCCTAATATAAGCCCTACCCCAAAAATAAGCTGGGGGGATGGGCGTGGCCTGCACAAGAGGCGGTGAGCATGCAGCCCGCCGGCTCCTTAGCATAGCACAGAGGCAGGGGAAGGCAGGCAATCAAGACATGCTGCATGACCGCCTGGTTCTGTGGCGAGGGCAGAGATACACCAAAATTCAGAGCATCTCTTAGGAAAAATCCTGCTGTGAAATCACAGAGAGCCATTACTATTCAATGTTGACAGTTTTGGGCTCAAAGGACCAATGACATGTCTCCACTTAAATAACTTTCCTTGGTTCCTGCATTCCACAAAAAGTGAGTACTTTGTCTTCTCCCGTCTGGCTGGATCAAGGATCCCTCCTCTTTCTTTTTTATTTCACTTCTTGCCTGTGAAAGTTTTATCACTCAGGAAGACAAATATGTCAGTAGCAAAGAGCCACAAAAAGAAATATATTCTTTTCTTCCATTTCCGCTTCCATAGCACTTTACAGTCTAGATAAAGTAAAGAAGGAGTAAATAAAAATCTGCTTCCTCAGCCTTTTTTTCCTCCCTACCTTTAAGGACCGAGTTTTTCTAGCTCAAAAAAGTAAAGAAGGGAATAAGGTAAGGATAAGTAAGAGGAAATAGTCTTCCCGAACAGTGACTACCCACACTGTAGAAACAACCAATTAAATTTGCCATCAGGATATTGTAATGGAACTTTGCTTTCCTATTTTCAATTTCCATTCAAAGGCACTTGTTAGGATTATCAGCACCACTACAACACAGAAAGCTCAAAACATTATTTACACATAATAATGCAATAAAGCACTAAATCCACATTTTGGAAAAATATATAAAAATGATTATCTTCCTTGTTAGTCAAACTATATTAGTAACATATTATGCTCTGCCCTTAACTCTAAATTTATTTATTATTTATCAAATTTATTGGCCATCTTACCACAGGGTAACTCCGGGTGGCTATACTGAAAATAAATAATTCTTCTATTGATTATGAAATATAAAGATTCACAATCATAACTATATTGTAAAGAATGATTGAATCTGTAAAAACAATCAAAGTATGCTTTTCAAAGTTAACCTATCCTTAGAGCAGCTTTTAAGGAAATATAATGAAAAAGTGGCATTTTTGTTACCCAAACTCTATAAGTAGAAACTCGCTGCAATCATAAAAATACTTTATGGATTCTACCCATAGCTTGACTTTTTTGTGAATATTTAAATCAACCTGAGCTAAAACAATTCTTGAATATGTCCCACATAACCAAGTACTTACCACTGCCTAATCTGAGGAGGAGGACATCCTGTAGCCGTCTGTTCAAATCTCTTAGCTCCTTCATTTCTGACACTAATGTCCCATACTCCTTTAACTTCTTTGCTTGCTGAACAAGCTGCCTTCTTGTTCTCTCAAGTTCCTGTTGAATGTGCCTCATTTCTTCCTGCTGTTGCTGATAGCTTCTCAGCAACTCTTCATAAAGAACTCGAGGAACTACAGCATCGTCCATATTGTTCATTCTGTCTGAAGTTTCCATAAATGTTGCCTCAGGACTGGAATTACTACTGAGGCTCATTCCATTTTGTTTTTCAAGGCGCGCAACAACTGCTTCAATGCTTTTGTGCGTACCTTCATTCTGTTTCTTTCCATCTTGTCTCTGTATGTTACAACAAAACACATTATTAATATACTGTGTCATATAGCAATCTTTAGAGTTCTGCAGTTAATGAAATTACAATTACACTACAATCCTCAAGGGAAGAACATTTAAAGAATATTGGACCAACACAATTTAGTAACCAGAAAAAGTTACATTATAAATAACGATTTAAGTATTTTTAAAAATGTATGATGCACAGTTAGATGCATCTGAAAGGAAATCAGCACTCCCAAGTTTTATTTTTTTAAATTTGTATTATCCAAAACCAACTTTTGGGGGGTGGAATTTCAGAAGACAGGAACAATTCAGACATCACACTAAACTTCAAGAGAGACTCAAAAGTATTCATTACTATAACCACAGGTTATGTCTGAGAAGGCCAAAATGCTTATACAAACTATAGTTCATCACAGTTAACTATTCTCTCAGTCTCTCTAAGAGTCAGTGCAGTTAAGGTAGATTCCCAACCCAGTCAGACATGGTGCTGAACTGACAGCAAGAAAGTCAATTAAACTTTAAGGACATACATGGTTGTGTAGCACCTAGTATGCATATAGGCAGCTTTAAGCATTTAAAAGAAGTAGTGCCTGTTTGCATGAATTCTGAGCACTCCTGACTTTTTTTTTAGTTTGGACCATTGTTTCAATGATTAAATACTGTGTTGTACAATCCCATCATCTGGAAACTTTAGATTTAGATGACAAATACTCCCAAAATGTGTTAATAATATCCTGGAGAAGACACTGATAGAATGCATTTAAAAGCAATGTTTTTACCTTGCTATTTAAAGATAATTTATATACTGATTTCCCTAATTAAGTGGGCATCAAGGCTCAAAATATTTAAGAATTCCACAATATAAGGAAATTATTAGTGGAAGAAACATGGTATCTATTACTGTGCAATAATCAGCCAAACCTCTAAAAGATATTTCCAAATCAAATTTACCTATTCCCCTTTGCCTATCAATACTAATAAAATATGAGACTCCATGTAAGTATAGATTGCCCCAGCTAAGCACTATACAAAAATTCAATGTGTACGTACTTACAATACTTAGTTTTAAAATAATGACTACATGCTTTATTTGAAAACAGGATTATTTGCCTCAAGGCCATAATTATAGAGGAAACAGCATATATGAAGCTAGAATATGTAAAAAATAGCAAAGATAACTCACATTATATAATTACAGTGTAAGTTCATTTTAATTTTAAGGAAACTGAGATGTGGATAAATGAACAAAGCTTATCTCAATATAGTGGCATTTCATTATTCAATAATATCTTATTGTATTGTATGTCTTTATATTAAACATATATCTAGAGAGATCATTAGTCTGGAGAACTGAATATATTAATCTTATCAAGCTGTGCTTGTTTTAGAACAGTAGGTGGAGAGAACATCTGACAGGGAAGGCTGTGAGGAATCCATAATGCTTTAGTTTTGCTAAGTTTTCTTTTTTTACTGAGAATAGCTTAGGAAAAACTTAGGAAAAATGTAATTATGAGATGCATTGGGGAATTCATGCAATACTATACTAATAAAAGCCTCAGTTCCAAGCATGTTAATATACCTGCAATATTCACGCTGAATATGTTGAAGATGGGCAAGTTGAAGGAATTTGCAATATTCAATGCAAAACTTTGTCTGGAATAGAGTCAGTCTAGTTTTACAGTATATTTTGTTCTAAAAAGAAAAGATATCCATGATAAAATGATACTAAATAGTAAGTGAAAGAACTAATATATACAAAGGGAAAGAATTTGTCAACATATTCACTGTGAAATGTAAAAAACACATAATTAACATTTTTGTCCATTGTATAAAACAAAACTGATTATTTCAGAGAATTTTAAAAGATTACATTCTACTGATGTAAAAGTATCTGCTCAAAAATGCAATTATTATCTGCTTAAAAAAATTATCAAAGGAGACACTCATTCTTTGAGCAATTAAAAAGTCTAACTCTGAAAATAATCACAATCTGACTGAAATAAAAGCAGTAAGTTGTTTTCCATTGCATAATGACATTCTCTGCCAACACTCTTAACAGATCACAATGCAGACTTCTTTAAAAGCAATCCTTTTCTTTGGGAATAATTTCTTCTTGATATAACCTTTCAGTACTTTGATAAATCACTAAAAGACAATTCTTCACTTTTTCCTTTTAGTCTTAAATATTGTGTTGTTGATAATCTTCCAGAAATTGGTGTAAACTCAGCTTTTATCATTAAATTATAGGATGTTCCTTAATTTTAAAAGCATGAAGATCAAGCTAAGCTTTCAGTAAAATATAATAACTTTGAGTTTTAACATTATTCAATATTATGCTATCAGTATAAAAAAGTAGGAGAAAGATGTACTTAGCTAGCACACTAGAAGTAGTCCTCAACTTGTAACTATTTGTTTAGTGACCTTTAAGTTACAATGGTACTGAAAAAAGTGACTGTTTTCCCAGTTATGACTGTTGTGGCATCCCCATGGACACATGATAAAAAATTAGGCTCTTGGCCACTGGCTCATATTTATGATGGTTGCAGTATCCTGGGGTCATGTGATCACTTTTTGTGACCTTTTGACAAACAAAATCAATTGGAAAGCCAGACTCACTTAAATGTGTTACTAACTTAGCAACTGTAGTGATTTACTTAACAACTGTGGCAAGAAGAGTCATAAAATGGGGCAAAACTGTCTTGCTTAAAAACAGAAATGTTGGACTCAATTGTGGTTGTAAATCAAGGACTACCTGTATAAATAATCTGAATCTTGTCATGTTCATGTTGTGTCTTTAATGGATATTGTTCTATAGATGATATTCTCCTAAAGACTGTCAACTGAGTTTTATTTTTTTGTGCAAAATTACATTGACAGAAGAATTACATTGATAGGAGACTGTATTTAAAATATTTATCTGCCTTTAGATTGGGCACTATTGGAGGACCATTTTCCATCACTTCAAACTATCTAAAACTGTCTTGGACAGCTAAAAGGTACTTTTATGGAGGGATACTGAGGTGCAAAAGAAATCTAAGTTTTTCAGCTTCAGTGGAAATCTGCTCACTTGGAAATGGAAACAATCTTCTCCCTCCCCCCCAAAACTGGAAAGTTTTGTATATAGCTTGAATCTAGACAAAGAGATGGTGATGAAATGAAAATATGTGCATAAAATAAGAACAGTAACACAATAATAAATATGATTTTTTTTATAATTGTACAGATGTTGAATCAGTTATAAACAAGATACAACAAAGTTAATAATTTGGATAATAAAAAATAGTCATAACTGAAGAAAGGATATTTGTTTTGAAAATATAGGTTGTATTAACATGCACCAACTTCTTAGGCTTACCCAATGAATGAACTGCAGGACAGCTGAGGTTTCTGGTTCAGTTCTGCCTATGCTGACTTTTTACTTCAGTGCCTGATAATCTCAGCAATGAGAAATCCCTGCTCTTGACAATCCACTTAATAAAAGAGAAATTCCACTTTTTAGACAAATCCGGTAGCAAAATTTGGATTATAATTTCGTTTTTACCCCATCATATCAAAATGTAGATAAGTAGTAAAAAAAAAGAAAAGAAAATCTATCCCTTATGTAGTGGATCAGGAATATATCCAAAAATATATTCACAAAAGTTGTTCTCATCTAGCATCATTCTCATTAGTTTGTGTTTGAAATGTCATTAACACAGGTCTTTACCTCCATACCATGAAAAAATAAAATAGCATGGCTGCTGTTAGATATTCTGATTAGCAAAATGAAAATCCTTCTCTTGGGTATTATTAGCGTTTGAAAGAAAAGTTAAATGTGAAGCATCCATATTCAATAAAGAGTAAATGAATCACCACTGAAGCTTTCACTAGATTGAACTGCAAATGTCAGTATATTATAGCTACAGAAAACATGAGCTACTGCTGGTTGGCCTGGGGCCTCGAGGGGGGGGGGAAGGCTCACCACTGGAGGTGGCTGACAGAGTAAGAAGACCTCATCCCTGTCCTGTTTTTTTAGCTCTCCTAGTTCAGTGTTCATACAGTTTTTAACAATATTTTAATGTGTCGTTTTAACCTTTTAACTATTTTTACTTGTTTTATAACTTGTAAGTTGTCACCTTGCTGAGGAGATGTGTGGCATAAAAGTTAAATAAAGAAAACGAAACAAAACAAACATCCATGGCTCACAGGACAATTTTACACCTCCCTGCTGCTTTCAGATACCAACCCTGTCACAACATACAATATTGGCAGATTCTGCGCAACAGTGTTCAAGATTCGTTGGATAATGACCTATGACATGTTCTCTGTAGGTTGATATAGTTTTCTACATATTAACCTTTTGTTTTCCCTTATACTTATCTAATTCTCCTACCCCTTCCTTTAGATTCTTTTAGACTCTTGTTCTTTATATATACTTTGTTATTTTTACATCTCCTAGCTTTTCATAATTTTGTTAGGTTCTAAGGATCTTCTACGTTTTTTAACTGACAGAACCAGACACTCCCTTCCCCTGGTCTATGACCACTATAAATGCTGGTCTATGACCATTATAAAGATTTGCGTTGATTTTGAAAATGTGAAAAAAATCTGATGAAAATGCAGAATGTTTCAAAGTTGGGTTAATAAATCTATTGATTGCTGAAAAAAAGATTAAAAACTTAATAAAACTACTAAATAACTTACATGAAATAACTTAGAATATATATTATGTATCTATTTTAAAAGTCTAATATGTCAATGTAATGTTTAACCAGAAATTAAAAATTATTGGACACAGTGATGGTAACCAAGTAGCTTTTCAGAATATGCAGGGTTTTTTCCTTAAAAATAGAAACATTTAAAAAAATAAATATAACCCAAATATCACCAATTAATGCTATTTTTGTATTCCTAATGTTACATATGCTGTTTCTCTTTAATGTTGGCATTAAGCTATAATTCAATGAAGATACAAGCAGCCATTACTTACTCTCCATGTAAGTACTATAGATGTGCAGATATTTATTTCCCATCCAACATCAATGGAATTAGGAAGGAGCATACATAATCCAGGAGCACCAAGTACTAGTATGGCTTAGACCAGGGGTAGTCAACCTTGGCTCTTTTATGACTCGTGGACTTCAACTCCCAGAATTCCTGAGCCAGCTAAGCTGGCTCAGGAATTCTGGGAATTGAAGTCCACGAGTCATAAAAGAGCCAAGGTTGACTACCCCTGGCTTAGACAGCTAATGCTTCTCTCCTCAGAAACCCCACTTACCTCAATAGAAACATGGCTGAATATTGCACAGTGCCCAATAGCAGGCTAAATTAGGAAAGCTTTGATGTGTAATATGTAACTGATGAGCCAAAACTCTGCTCTCCACAATTTTATCACATAAGCAAAACCTGGGGGAAAAATCATATGTTATACACATTTTATACTGACTGTCATACTTCTTTTTTGTATGGTGCTTAAAAGATTATTTCATATGTGTTTCCTTGCAGTATCATTGAGCATTTTCATCTTCACATTAGACAAAATGTGTGAATGTTATACTTATATATTTTTAAACAAGATGGGCGCAAAACATTATCTATAGAGTAGGGTTTCTCAAACTATGGGTTGGGATTCTCCAGAGGGATCACAAACAGCTTTGAGGAGGCTCAAACAGGAGCACTCTCAAACTCATTCTGGGCTTTGTCTGCACCAGGCAGCTGAAGTATTGAAAAGTATGAGAACTACTACGATATACACATTAACATTTCATTATTGAAACTAAGTACATGTAAATACATGTATTTCCTGCCCTAAACTTAACTGAATGAAATCTTTATTTTTATTCATATAAGGGTCATATGCATTTATTTATCATTTTAGAGAGTCATAGCACTATAGTGTCTGAAAACCTTTGCTATAGATACAAAACTTTAAATGTATTCTAATAAGTAAACTGGAAGATATTTTGCAGGGATGTTTTCTTCAAATTCGGTGAATTTTGCTACTAAATCTACTTTAAAGAAAGTTCCCAGATGGTAAGATTAATATCAGTCTGTACAAACTATTATTTAATCGACTATATGTTTTTCATACACACAAGAGCACATACACACCATTTATAATGCACGTCTTTAACAGTGTGAGGTAGCTTGTTATCTCAATCAGTCATAGAGAACTTAGCCTGACATTCAAATTCCAATACAAACATTGTGTCCCACAGGAGTGCCTGAATATTTGACACACTCTATGTTCATGGAGAACTGGATCACTCTCTGATATAACAGAGCTACTGCTTTATTCATTTTGTTATAGTTCTGAATTCAAAGAAGTTCAAATAAAGATAAAGACATATGTATGGTTCTTAAAATTGTTGTATATAAATTGTGAGTGTACAAAAATGCTGACCTAGTTATATTTCAGCTTGTCCACTATAAAGATATTTATTCCTGAAAATGAAATAACATCACTACAAGAAATCTTGTTGCACAAGCTACTATAAAAACAAGTCATCATTTTTTTAAAAATAATCACACCAGTTTTAAAAAGAACTCCAAATAACTCAATTTTGCTAACCCATTATTTTTACTTATCAAACAAAATGAAAATGATGTCATAAGAATATAAAGGAGATAGGTATACACTAAAACATTCGGGACTCTTGGTTGTACAGTATTCACAACATTCCAATTCTAATCCAATATTTCAATGCATTTTTGCAAGTCGTCCCATTATATTTAATGGGACTTAATTGTCATTAAAGGTGCATAAAAATTGCAATCTGCATTTCTGTATGCTAATGAATGAAAGAATCCCTGACATTCTGAAATGGATTTGCTGTTGAATAAAGCACATCCAAAATTAGGAAAAAATAAAGAACAAACCAACAAACAGGGCTTCAATACCTTACAGTGTCTAAGTTCCATATCTTCATCCCCATAATCTGTAATTTCCCCTGTTTCTTCTAGGTGATTGAGAGAGAGCTTGGGGATTTTAATTTTCTTCTGCATCACACTGTTTTCAAGGTCTGTTTTATCTTCTGCAAATTTACATAAAAATATTTTTTCACATTTTTCAAACTGATATTCAAATACTATATGACTGAAGCCAGACCATTTAAAAAGTTCCCATGCTTGACTACCTTCCATATGCAGTGATAATCAACTGCTCCAGAAACTTTTTTTTTAAAAAAATAGATGCACTGTAGCCCTTACACAGAAATGTGAAGAATATTGTGCCTTGTAAAAAAATTAGGGCTTCCAAAGATTGTTAACAAAGCTGAAATCCAAACTTAACCGTGATGTTTTGCAGATGATATTCGACCAGTTATGCATTTTCCCTCAGTGCAACCTAATTCAGAATTTTAAGATCTAAAAATGGAGAAGAACTTTCCTCATTCTAAAAATACTGTACACATTTTGATGGCTCCCCATTTTTTTCTCATTGCCTGCTCTTTCAAACATTATAGCAGGTTCAAACATTATAGCAGGGATTTTATTTTTTTCTGCAAATGTGGGGAAAACACATTTTTCAGAAATTCCAACCCTTATAAGCAGGGAAGAGAGAGATGCCTCCATCCTTACATATTCTCTCTTGCTTAATGCAGCAGCAGTATCAGCAAGACTGCAGAAAATGTAGAGAGAAAGGATGCATAGTTTTTTTTCTGTCAGAAATTATGTCAACAAGGGAAAACTAGCATCTAGCTCAGATTCAGACTAGGTATTTTCTAGGCCAGTGGTGGCGAACCTATGGCACGTGTGCCAGAGGCGGCACTCAGAGCCCTCTCTGTGGGCACGCGCGCCATGCCCCGGAGATGGCAACCGTCCCTCTTCAACCAGCCGCCCGCTAACTCGCCGAGGTCCCACGTGGCCGGATGCATCCCAGCACAGCTGGTTTCCCTCCCCTCCGTCTCATCCCTACTGGCCTCACATGCTCTCCTTTTCTCAGGCACGACCCATTGCATCGCCTCCTCAGCTGTCGGCTGTCCGTCCAGCTCAGAGGCGGCTTCTCTGAACTGCTGGCCGTGGGCTGCGGAGCCCCAGAGTGCGCCGGTAAGCCCCATGTGCTCGCTGGCCTCTGTGTGGGGGGACCAATGGTGTCGGGCAGCAGCCACCCCGGCCTCTGCCTCAACTTGCCCTGCGACAATGGCACCCTTGCCCTGCCTTGCCTTGCCTCACCCCGCAGGATGAGCCTCCTGGTCACCGTCCCACCTGCCAGAGACTCCATGGATTTCCCCCAACCCTGCCCGGCCCCCACAGGCATCCTTCCCCACGAGCAACATCGAGGTGACCACGCCCATCTTGGCCACACCCATCCAGTCTGCCATAGTCATGGCAGTTGGCCATGCCCACCTGGCACCCGGCAATAAATAAGTGGGTTTTGGGTTGCAGTTTGGGCACTTGGTCTCTAAAGGATTCACCATCACTGTTCTAGGCTTTTTAGAAGCCCAATTTAAAATTAGACTCCTTTCACTATACATAAATATTTCAGTGATCAGAATTTCTTCAGTGTCATGCAATACATTGTTTTTGGGGTAATATACCTAAATTAAGCATTTATATTTTTGTTAGTTATGAGAATCTCATTGAATTTTAAGAAGCTGTCCCAAGTAACCAATTAATTAAAAGAACTTTCAGAAGTTCACAAGAATTAAATAGCAATCACTGTTAACAGAGAGCTACTAAAATTAAATGCAGTTACTCTGTCAAAAAGATGAGTCAAAATTAAATCTCAATAGTAAGGTTTAGGAAGTTTTCTGCTTATTTATTAGATTTACATCTTGCCTATTTTCCAAAGAGGTTTACATAGGAACACCCTTATTTAATCTTCACAATAACAATCTCTTCAGCAGAGTGGTCTCAGAGAGATGACCCAAACCCATCAGTTTCCAAAACTGAGAGAAGACATAAAGTTAATCTCAAAAAAATGGCGACCGGATGGCTTTTTTTACTTCAAACAACATACATAACAACACAAGAACAGAAACTATTTATTTATTATTGTGGTTTTTAGTATCGCCTGTTCACCGCCCTGAGTCCCGTAAGGGAGATAGGGCGGTATATAAATTTAATAAATAAGAAATAAGAATAAGGGAGATTTATTTGATGACTTAAAAGCACGGACATGGAAGACGAGTTGGCAAAGAAAGAAAGCTAGAATAAGACTGAAGAAAATTGGGGTTTTGACTTATCAGTGAGAATTAAAATAGAACATACTCAAATAGATAATAATAATAATAAAGTTGGAAGGGACCTTGGAGGTCTAGTCCAACCCCCTGCTCAGGCAGGAAACCCTATACCATTTTGGACAAATGGCTGTCCAGTCTCTTCTTAAAAACTTCCAGTGTTGGAGCATTCACCACTTCTGGATAAGATGTGTATTTTAAATACTAGATTTTGTTATTTAGAGAGAAGCTTTTCTTTCTGAGAAAAAATATTTGGAACACAGCAGCAGCTGCATCTTTTAAAAGCTTGGTGAAGCCACTTCAAAATCCCTTTTTAAAGTTTTAGTATAAACACAGAAAAGTGGGAAATGGACTTGAATTAACAATATGGGTCTTAAGAAATATAGTGTTTTGATGCTCTAAGAAACAGGTTAGGAGAGGTGCTTTATTAAGTTATCTTAGCATGGTTTTTATGGCCCCAATCAACAGCTGTATAAAGTAATATACAAATTTCTGGATGTTTAATCACAATAATTATCATGGATCCCTGCATTTTAGCTTCAGTGAATATGGCTAACTTTGAATTTACTCAGTATAACTTTCAAGAATTGATATTGCATATATTCTTGATTAATATAAATCCATTTTATTAATCCAAGAACTAGAACACCTGGTTAAGTGCAAAACATAAAATATATTAAAAATAAGTTACACTTTTTATTTTTATTACATTTCTAATTATATTTTAAAGTCATGAAACTAACTTTTAGAAAATCTTTCAAAATATTTGAGTTATACTCAAATCATACTAAAGCTTTGGACAACTCACAAATTAAAAGGTTTTAGTACAATAAAACATCCTGCATATGTGCAGTTTATAACCGGATGCTTGAAGCTATTTAACACATTTCTTAGCAACAAAGTTGACAGCAAGTTGAAGCTAACTAATTCTACAACATATGAACATATCACCAACTTTTCCCTCATTCCCACATTTTTAGAAGTATGCTAAATAAAAGAATAAATATTATCCTCATTTACCTATCACAAAATTATGATCATATATATTCCCTCAACTCATCTTCAAATCATTATTCCTTGTCACTGGTTGGCTAGGTGTCCATATAAACAAGGTCTTAGTTGCACATAATTTAAGCCTCACTGTTTTAATGGTTTTCAGACTCAAGCCAAAAGTTTAGCTATTTGCAAAGGCAAATAAAGCAA